TTGGGGAGGGAGACTCTCAGTGGCTAAAGTATCAACCCTCTGGTTCTTCCAGCTTCACCTCTACTCTCGGTTTTCCTCAGCTCCCTTCCAGAGGAAACTTACTTGAAGGTTGATGACTTCTCTTTCTGATTCCATCTCGCTGTCCTCAAGTCCCTTCACACGCACCGGTGGTGCCGGGGGAACAGACTGCGTGGGCTCTCCAGGCTCTGCCGTCCTTGAGTCTCTGCGGCTTTCGGATAGGAGAGAGCACACAGCTGGCGGACAGACCTGCCATTCATCCCTCTGATGTGGGATGCCCGTCTTGGGGTGCAGCCCCTGGGGATGTGTACAGAGGCACACGCGTGTGAGTGTGTGTGCACATGTGTGTTGCTGCAGGAGGTGCACCCTGTGCACACTGAGGAGGTGGCCTTCTGGTTGGTAGTGACAGCGTCATTTTCACCAGTGGCTCCAGTGACCTTCGTCCCAGCGGAGCCCTCTGAAGTCACCAGCTGCTTTTTGGATGCTAGGAGCTTTACGACTGGCAAAAGAAAAAAAGAACAAAAAAAAAAAAACCCCTGCGGCTATCTTATCAGCGTGAAATGGGGAAAAACAGCCTGAGGACAACACTATTACTGGATTCACGCTGAGGTGGGGTCCCCAGTCCCACGGGGGTGGAGTGACCCTAGCACAGTCTCAATAAACTGATGTTTCTGTCCTGGAGCTGCTGGGCCCATGGGCCTGCCCCAGTTGCTGACTGCTGAGGAGACACAGGTCCTCCTCCAGGGTCTCCTGCTGGCACTGGTGGCTGATGTCTGATACTGGGCTAGAGTCACTCATGGGCGATTCTCTTTCTGCTTTTGAGATCCAGTGGTCTCCCTTGCTGTCTGCGCTACCTTGGCTCGTGGCAATGTGGACCGTCCTGAGACCTGGCTTTGACTTGTATGTGCCCCCATCCCACTACATCCGCTCAGTGGCCCCCATCTCTAAGATAAGCCCTTCGAAATTTTCCTGCGAGATGCTTGACCAGTGCTCCTGAGCCCCTTTGGACACATGGGAACGGACAGTTGCTGACGAAGGGCTGGAGAAAGGCTCCTCCCTTGAGTAGCCATAGAGGGAGCAGGGAAAAGTTGTACCTTCGAAGACCGTTTATGCAAGTAGCAGTATTCTCCCTGCTTTTAAAATA